CTTTCTTTCTTTTTTCTTTTCTTTCCTTTCTCCCCCTCCCTCCCTCCCTCCCTTCCTTCATTTCTTCCTTCTCTCTCTCATTCTGGAAGCCATCAGAGACTTTCCCAGAAGGACTCCACCTTCTCTGTTTTGAGCAATTTCTTCCTGAAAGCATTCCCAAATGAATGTATTTATCCTTTTTCACCCCATGATCCTGACCTTAGCACATGGGGGAACTGAGTTCTAGGCTGACAAACCAGTTTGCTTTAATTTAGTCTGGGAAACCAAGAATAGAGTGGGAGATCCAGCAAGGAACTCCCCTGACTAAGTTGTGGGTGTTTTTTCCACATTAAAATTTTTTCTTCATGTGGTAAAATATACATAATATAAAAAGTATCACTTTACCCATCTCTTAAGTGTACGGTTCAGTGGCATTAAATACATTTGCACTGGTGTATGTCCGTCACCACCATCCCTCTCTAGAAATCTTCATATTTTAAAACTGAAACTCTGCACCCCTTAAACCATCACTCTCCACTCCCCCTTCCGCCAGCCCCTGGCAACTGTCATTCTCCTCCCATGTCTATGAGTTTGACTAGTCTAGGTACCTGTGTAAGTGGAGTCATATCATATCTGTCCTTTGAGTCTGGCTTATGTCACTTAGCAGAATGTTTTCAAGGTTCGTCAATGTTGTAGCATGTGTCAGAATCTCTTTTTGTGGCAGAATAATATTCTGTATCCATTTATCTGTCCATGGACATTTGGGTTATTGCCACATCTTGGCTATTGAGCGTAAGGCTGCTGTGAACATGGGTGGACACATTATTTGAGTCCCTGCTCTTCAGTTCTTGGGATCTATGTCCCAGAAGTGGAATTGCTGAGTCACAGAGTAGTTCTCAGTTTAACTTTTTGAGGAACCTGCATAGTGTTTTCCTCAGCAGCTGCACTGTTTTACAATATCACAAAAGTGCACAAGTGATCTGATTTCTCCACGTCCTCACCAGTCCCCAGTAAGTTTTCTTGAGGAGATAGCAGAAGCCAGAATATAGTCAGAAGACTGGCTATTTGAAGGAGTCCAAATTTCATAGAATGGGACCAGCAAAGGGGCTGGAGAGCTCCTAGTCCAACTCCAGAGTAACAGGTGGGGAGACTGAGGGTGGGTTATCAGGTGGGCTGGTTGGTGGCAGAGCTGAAACCAGAAGCCAAGACTGATGGCTTCCAGGCCAGTGCCCTGCTCTCAGCATGCATTGCTTAGCGATTCCTTCTCGGGCTGCAGGTCAACATTGTTCATCCCATTTCTCTGACAAAGAAACTGAGGCTTGAGGAGGAAAGATGGCATTTAAACCTCCAGCTAGCAAGCCCTGGCCATGAAGCCAGCCTTCTACACTCAGAGCTGGGGCCCGAGGACTGAGCTGTAGGGGGTCTCTCTGCCCCCCAGTCTTGGTGGTTGTCCAGATGGGGGTAGTCAGAGACTTCTTGTGCTTCTCATGTGCTGTCTTCTTTCTCCTCCTAGGATGATCCACTTACAAATCTGAACACAGCCTTTGATGTGGCAGAGAAGTACCTGGACATCCCCAAGATGCTGGATGCTGAAGGTGAAAGGCGCTTTCCTTCTGGGCCTTTGGTTCTTCTCCCTCCTGTATCCAGTGGCCAGGAGGGGTGGGCCCCACAGCCCGAGGCTGGAAGGGAGATGGCCTAGTCTCTGGGACCTCAGTGGTCATCAGCCTGTCAGGGATTCCACAGACAAATTCCCTGTGGTTTGGAGGAAGAGGTGGTAGCAGGTGCCTCATCAAGGTCTTGGAGTCGGGGTACTGGGTGGCAGGGTGGATGAAGCAGTGTCCCTTTGTTGCCGGGGAGGGAGAAGTGTGTATTAATGTGCATCATGTACACACTTGGGAGTTTGCAGTGATGAGTTACTCGAAGGGGTGATTTGAGTTGGGGCGTCTATATACATACCTAACTTCATAGGGGAAAGGCAGGAGGTCAAGGGCACTGAGGGAAAAGCAAGTGACTGTTTAGAAAGATGAACAGCCCTTAGGAGACGCGATGGGAGAGATGATAGTTTATGACAATGTCTGTCAGGGTGTGGGGTCATTTTCAAACATGTACAAAAGCAGAGAGAAAAATATCATGAACTTCCATATTCCCAGAATCCAGATATAATAATTATCGAGGTTTTGTCATTCTCTTTTTTTCTTTTCTTTGTTGAAATATTTTAGAGCAAATCCCAGACATCATAGCATCTCACTGCTATGTAGTTCAGAATACATTCCTTAAACCTAGGAGTATTTTCCTATGCAGTCGTAAAACAGTTTTCACACTTAGCACGTTGACGGTTCTTCCTTGATACATCTGCATCCCAGCTCAAAATCAAATATCCCCGTTATTTCTTTTTAGTTGGTTTGTGTTGATCAAGATCCAAACAGTGTCTGCCTGTGGCATTTTGTTGTTGTATTTCTTTTTTCTTTATTTTTTTTCCTGATAACTATTACCCTTCTTTAAAATCTTTTTTATTGAAGTATAGGCGGTTTACAACATCATTGTTATACTTATGTCTCTTCTAACCGTTAGCGCTTCTCTTCTCCCTCCGACTCCTTTCATTCCTGGCATTGAACTTGTGGACACTGGGCCAGCTGTCCCATGGAGTGCTCCTCACTCTGGTTTGTCTGTCTGCTCCCTCGGGTACCTTTCGCTCCTTCCTCTACCTCTCGTATTCCCGTCAGTGGCCGTCAGGGCCAGATGCTGGTTAGACTCGGGCTGAGCATCTTGGCAGGAAGGCTTGGTGCTTCTGAGAGCTGCTTTCCCCATCACATCAGGAAGTAGCTTTAACTCCAGGTTTTTCTCAACAGACATTGTCGGAACCGCCCGCCCGGATGAGAAAGCCATCATGACTTATGTGTCCAGCTTCTACCATGCCTTCTCCGGAGCCCAGAAGGTACCTGGGGCCCCCTGCTCCTTCCTTGCCCAGCACACCTCATGCCAGACCTGAACCATGCCCTCCTCCCTCTCCCTGCCTCTCCACGGCGACAGGGTCTGGATGGTCTGTCTCTTCGGTAGCGTTAGGCCCCTCAGCGTGGCGTGTCCTTCTGCCTTGGGGCCACCCCCCTGCCCACCCCTCTGCTCTTTCTCACATCTTCCTCTACTGTCTCTGAGAAAATTGGGCAAGAGCTCACCTTCTGGGACCCAGATGGCTGGCTTAAGCAGGAAGGGCTGCATGGGTAAAATCAGCCAGACGTGGTTCTGGAGGCCTGGAAGGTGCCATGGGCAGCAGTCCCTCCGTGTCCACCCTCTTGAAGCTGCAGCATTAACAGAGCAGCAGGGCTTCCCTTAGGGAGGCAGATCTGATCGGAGGAGGTACCTCCTGTCTTTACTGACCTATTCAGTCCACAGCCCCTTTGGGCCTTGGTGCCTTCTGTATCTTGCCTGGGACCCCCATGCGGGGTTACTCTGCACACCCCCCTTGGAGGAAGGAAGGGAAAGGGTGGGTAGCTGTGAACCCTTCAAGTGTCCTGGCCCAATTTTGCCCCAGGAAGCCTCAAGTTAAAGCCCAGATGTGCAGGTTCTGCACTACACAAGGGCATCATTCCCACTGCAGACATTGAAGATTTGAATATTTTCATTACCAGGTTTGGCTTGGGCAGCAGACGCCCCGCCCCCAGGCCCCCCTCATAGGCAGGGCCCCAGAAGCACAACATCCAGGTTGCCATAACCACAGACCACAGGCTTGGCCTTCTTGGCTTTGGGCCTCGAACCTTCACATACTCTGGCAAACTTGCCACCCTGCGCATGGAGTCTGAGTGACCTGTCTTGAAATGCATGATCGGGGCACTGTCCCCACCTCCCCCACCCTCTATCAGCCTCCCTGGCTTCTCTCTCTGTCTCTCTCCACTCCCCCTGCTCCCCTGTCTCTGCCTGTGCTATCTCCTACCCTACCCCTTTTCTCCTCCCATCATCTCATGGTTTCTCTCTCTGCCCACTCCCTCATTTTCTGTCTGTCCATCTGTCTTGTGTGCTGTCTGTCCACCACAGCTGTTTGGGTTTATTCTGTGCTGCTGTCTGCTTTCTTCTCTCAACCTCTTCTCCTTCTCTGTGCAGATGTGTAGGCACGCTAAGGCCGGATGGGAAGGCCATGTGACCTAATGTTTCATGTCACTGCCACGCCTTCTTGGGTGCGCAGAAGGTGAGCTCTCCCTCGGCCTCGCCCACTCTCCCAGCTGCCCTTTTGCCCATCTGCCATCCTCCCTGGATACTCCAGTGGCAGCCCTTGGGAACTGCAGCCCCTGGAATGAAAGGCGGGATTAGAAAAGCCTCCCCACAACCCCAGTGTCCTGCAGGAGGGCAGGATGCTCACTGGCCTTTGGCTGGGACACTCAAAGATGTCAGAGAACGCCAGCCTCTGGATGGCCACTTGCATCTCTGGCCCTCTACGCTAGCTGTAATGGGTACCACAGATGGGAAAGAAGCTTGTGGCCTCAGCTCTTTTCCTGGACCCTGAGTTGAGAGGCCTTATCCCAAGCAGCACAGCTCTTGGCTATGCTTCCTGCCTATTCTCTTAATTATCCAGTTTCCCTTCACTTACTCTCCTTCCATTTGCTTAGGCAAGACCATCCTCTGAAATTACCCAGCAACCAGGGTGGGGAGAAGTCTTCTGCCTTCTCTCTAGTGTCCAGGCCAGAGGCTCAGAGCCCTGCCTGATCCTTCCCATCCAGGCCTGCCATGGACAGTGGTGCAGGTTGCACACTACACAAGGATGCCATGTGTGCACTATAGACCATGAAGATTTGAATATTTATTACTAAAATAATCTTGCAAATGGCAGTAAAGATGTCTTCTAACAGAATGAATATGATAGTTTTCCAGTAGAAGTGCCTTGCGGAAGAGATGCCTTTAAAAAAAAACAAAAACATAAGGCATTGTGTGGGCTAGCAGCAGCCCCATTCCTTGCCTAGATGGGCACCCGAGACCTTCCTCACTTTCCTTCCAGGTCCCCTGGGTGTTGACTGACAGGAGAGCAGCCCTGCCTGGAGGCTCCCCTCCTGGGTGTCCCCCCTACCCAGGAGGTCCAGTTCCCTTCAGCCTCTTCTCTGGCCTACCTCTTGCTTCTTCTTCCTCTTTGTCTCACCTCTGCTGCTGCTCTTTCTTGACAACTTCTTCTGGCCCCTCTTATGCCCCACCTTTTAGGCAGAGTGTGAGCACCACCTATCTACTTGCCCCTGTGGGCCTCCAGCCCTGAGAACCACAAAGAGTCTTGCCCACACCCAGGACTAGGCTGAGCTCTCTCTTTCCAACTCTCCTTCCTCCTCCTCTCCTTCTTCTGCTGGTTCTATCCTGGGCTTCATGCCCATTGACACTGGCCTCCCCTGTCCCTGAAGCCTTCCCCATGTCCTGGCTGATAATGGCTCGAAAGTAGCGTGTGCGCACGTTTGCGTGTGTGTACGCGTGCGTGAGTGTAGCAGTCTGCTTTTCTCCCTCCTAGACATCATACCACCTCCCTTCATGCCTTCTTCCCTCTCACTCATCCCTGTTGCAATCATTTCATGCTCTTTTTGTCTACATCTGAGAATGAGGTCACCTCATTCACCAGCTGGGGTTGGGGTGGGGCGCTGGGGATGAGGGTGGTGGTCCTCTTAAGACCTGGGTCAGGAGCCTCACCCAGAGTTGCCCCTCCCTACCCATTTCTAACGATTCAGGCAACTGCTTAGAGCTAAGCAGGCTGGTAGGAGGGGAATCTTCCTCCTCTCCTGTGAAAAAAGGAAGAGTCTTTCAGACTCATACTCTTTTCTTGTCTTGACTGTCTCCATGCCTGGAGCCAACGGGAGAAGGCCTTCTGAAACCCATACCCAGGGCCCTGCATCCTCTCCACTGTCTTTCTCTCATCAAGCCTTGGGCAGTGGAACTAGAAAGGCAGCTGAGTCTAACGCACGCATGCACATATGCACACGCAGTGCTTGTAGTGATGCAAGTGTGCCTGACGGGTCTTCCTAGTCAGATGAGGACCAACTTCTGGTGGCCACGTTGGTTTTGGTTCTAATTCTTCCTCAGCTTTCCTCTCCCTCCCCTTCCCCTGGAGGTATTTAGAATGGGTTTTAAGCAACCAATTTTATGTTTATGTAGTTTGTTGCTTTGATGTTCTCGGTCTGTTGGGACCTATTTCTGAGAAACGGCCCTTTAGGGCGTGAACTGGATCTGCTGTAGGGTTTCCAGTGCTTTTAGGAGTAAATGGTGCCATTTGCATCCTTCCATTTGTCCTCAGTAGTTTGTGAATCTTCTGAGGGAAAGAAAGCCTTTTCCTGCCCTCAAGGGGTTCATGATCCATCTGGGAAGTCCCTTTGTAAGAGAAACCCGTGAGGTGAAGCTGTGTCTTATCAGTGCTCTGCTCAGCTGTGGACCTGAGCCGGGGAGGGGGGCTGCAGGGCTGCAGGGCTGCGGGACACGGAGGCTTTCTTGAGCAGGAGACACTTGAGCTTGGGGGTCTTAAGGGTTGAATAGGGGGAGCGATCTGGAAATGAAAGGCTCTGGGAGGGTTGAGGAAGAGGTCACAGCTTGTGCGAAGCCTCGTGGTGTGACAGCACAGCCTCAAGGGGAGAGCAAGTTAGTGCTGGTCCAGGTCTTGTCCCGCTCTTGGAGCAGGGGGTTGGGGGAGGTCAGAGGTGGCAGCTGGTGAGAGGGCTGAGTGCCATGGGGTCAGCGCCCCTCTGTCTGGGGGCCTCACCAGCAGGGACACCAGGGCTGGGAGCTGACTTGGGCCATGAAGAAAGGCTAGGCAGTGGGAAACTGTGGGAGGAAGGAAATAGGCAATTCTTGCTAGATTTGGGAAATTTTTGACTAAAAATGTCACAGATGAGATCCTCGTGGCACTCATGTGAATCTGTGGGTGGTGGGTGGCGGAGCCACCATGCGTCACTTGGCCACATTTGGATGTTTGATTCACCATCATCGAGGATGTTTCCTCTGCAGACTGTACCTGTGTCAGCTAATTCGATGCTGATTATTAGAGTGGCAGTTTGACTGGCGCTAACTGAGGGTTTCATGTGGGGATAGCTAAGTGCTCAGGGAATAATAATCCATACTTTTGAAAAAAATAACTAATACAAAACCAAACATGTTGTTCTGTATTAAGTTGTAGAATTGTATCCCTTAAAGTGGGTCATAAATTCCAAAGTGCAGACCATGAAAGGTGAACACAGATTTCTAGCAGTCTTCTTTTGGCACTTGGAAGTCATCCTTTTGCCTGTTTCTGTAAAGTATTTTCTCAGCCCATTGATGTGATCTTTGTAAAAAGTCCCTGGAAAGCCCACTCAGGAACTCCCCCAGACTTCATCCAGAAGGAGCCCCCTTTGACCCTGGAGCAGTCGACAAGCTCTGAGGGATGGGTGAGGCTCTTGAGGCCTGAAAGGCGTGTCTTTCAGAATCCCATGAACACAGGCCTCACTCAGTCCAAGTTCACAAATTGACACGTAAATCGAAGTTTATGACCACTGAGCCCAGGATTTCAAGATGACTTAGGAGCATAGCAAGGCCAAGGTGGGCTTGGGCCATTAAACGTCACAGCAGCAGCTGCTTCTTGCCTGTGATGAGGGGCTACCAGTGATTTTTATGTTTGGTCAGCACGCTGGACTGGGGTCTTTGTAGCCACTTGCGTTCTTTTTTAAAAATTTAACTTAATTATTTTCTTTTATTTTGGGGGGTAATTCCATTAATTAATTAAAATAGAGGTACTGGGGATTGAACCCAGGACCACGTGCATGCTAAGCACGCGCTCTACTACTGAGCTATATCTACCCTACCCCCAGCCCCTTCCGCATTCTGACACACATGTCAGCACATAGGGGAGCAGTGACCTCCCCCTGGGTCCCCTCCCCAGCCTTCAAGGGAAGTGGCCCCAGTGATTTTAGGCAGATTCATGGGCATGTCAGCCCAGTTCCCATGACCCTGTTCATTCCAGGGCCCCACATCTTCTGGGATGGGCTCCAGGAAGGAATTTCCCTCCTCATTGCCTCTTGGGATTCCCCTTGGTTACTAGTTGGTTCCTAAGGAGAAGGACAATCAATCAGGAGTTCCATGTGAGAGGTGGCCATGGTATCTGAAGGGCAGAGTTAGGTCTGGGGGTTCAAGGGGTGAGGGTCTAAGGATGTGACTTCTTGCCTCAGTTTCTCCAGATTTGGGGCCCAAAGTCCTCATTTCACAGGACCCTTGACTGTTCTCTCAGCTCTCCTGCTGGAGGCCCGCCTGCTCTGACACCTGGCCCTGGAGGGTATAGTGTCTTCACTTTGAGCTTGGAAGGACCTTTAGGATGATCTCATCCTGCCCCCTCACACACACACCTCCCAGCACAGTCACCCACACTGCACACCATCTGGTGGGCGTGTATCCTATCTGAAGAGTCCTACAAGGGAAAAACGTGTACATCTTTCCCGTCACTCCTTCCCAAGTCAAAGCACTCTCATTCTCAGGAACTTCTTCCTGATGCCTAGCCTCAGTTTCTCTTGCTGCAGTTGAAACCCATTTTGTTTTGTTCATCAACCAGTTGCAAGGTCCCGTCTTTCTACCCCTTAAAGCTTTCCCATTTGCAAGGTCACTCTTCTCCAGGGCGCCAGGATGAGTATCTGTCTGCTTATCTGTATTATCTGCTCCCACCTCTTGGCCATCTTCCTTTCTATCCCTGGACCCCCAAAAAGTCTTCGAATTCCCCTGTTCCCTTCCCCTAGGAGTTGGGTTAGGACGTACACAAGAACACAGCTGAATTTAAAGATCACCTGGGCAAAGTGGGTTTCGGAGCGCCTGGCCCCTGCTGGTATCAGGGTCACAAAGCTCTCTAAGCCAGAGAAGTGTCCCCTGGGGCTTCTGGGCATTTGCATCTGAGCCTCTTTTGTTCTTCTTGCCCACCTCTAGAGCCTGCTGGCCCAGTACTTGGGGTGGGATGTGTGTTTAGCTTTCCCAGAGGGGCCTGTGCTGGCCCTCTGGATGTCTTGTCCATGTTGGGTTGATCCTTAATTCCTCTGTCTTCTCTAAAGTTCTTTGAGCTTTGGGCCAGGAACCTTGGGAGATTCTGCAGGGATCCCGAGAGGCCCCACTCCTCAGCACCTATTCTAGGACTCTCAGATTTGAATTCCCGCATCTCCAAGATCCTGGCAAATCCAGTCTAAGAGCCTAAGTCTTGGGACTCCCAGGGTCTCCACTTGGACTTCCAGGATGGGCATGGATTTTCTCACCCCTCCACCTGAGCTGAGCATTTCAATTATATCAGTCATTGGATCAGTTTCTTCCCAACATACATGTTGGACCTCAAACTTAGGCTCTTCTCCAGGGGCCCCCAGTTCAGCCACCAAGATCTCTGTCGGAGCTCACTTGATCCATGGGACTCAGCCTGGGTTGGTAAAGATGATGGTGAGGAGGAGCGAGGAGGATATGAATTCAAAGCCTAGGGAGCTGCCTTCCAGCCACGTGGAGCTGCAGGGGTTGGAGAGGACCTGGTACCAGGTGCTTCTGCTGTCGTGTGACTGATCGTGACCCTCTCTGTCTTGTTACTAGGCCGAGACAGCAGCCAATCGCATCTGCAAGGTGCTGGCCGTCAACCAGGAGAACGAGCAGCTCATGGAAGACTACGAGAAGCTGGCCAGCGATGTGGGTACTCCCTGGGTTCTCCTGGCCTGGCCTCACCAAGGCCCTGCCATCCTACCCTGAGAGATGGAGAGCCCCTAGAACCCAGGACCTTCAAATCTGTCCCTAGGCACAGTTCCAGGCTGAGTGTCATCCCTGATCCCAGCAGTTGACCTAGGGTGGATTTTGCTCTCCCGAAAGTAGAGGGGTGGGTCAGGGGCCAGTCTGGGCTTTGGAGAGCTGAGTTCCAGGCTTCTTCTGTCATCAGCAGTAAGCCTGGAAAACCCCTTCACCTCTCTGAGTCTTGGCTTTTTCACTTGGCAAGTGAAAGTATTTCCAGGGGACCTCAGAGGCCTTTTGAGGCTGGTATGCCATTGTTCTGGGAGTTTTGCTTGAGCTAGAAAAGGAGTGTGTGGTTCTGAGAGGGTACGAACCTGGGATAAATCAGTGCTGGCTCAGGAGAGCTTAGCAGCTGGGCCTGCCCAGGGGCCAGGAGGGGCCAGGATTGAGTTTGCTGCTCTGCCATTGGCTGCATTTGGGCTAGAGCTCCACTTGCTTCTTCCTTGAAAGAATGCAGCCCCTGAACAGCTCAGCCTGGCCTCATGGTGGGTCTGCTGTCCAGTGTAGTAAGAACCCAAGTTCTGGTGCCTAGGTGCCTGGGTGTACTCCCTGTGCCACCGTTCCAGCTTGGTCACCTTGGCAAGTCACACAGCCTCACAGCGCCTTGGTGACCTCCATCACCTGGGTAGGGTCACAGCACTTACCCCATGGGATTCCTGTTGTCAACGTTCAGTTGAGTTAATTTGGGCAACGTGCCTGGCACCTTGCAGGGTCACATCTTTCCTCTCACCACTTCCCTCCTCCTCCCTCATCACATCGAGGAAAACACTCCAGGCTGTTCCCTGCTTGTGCCCTAGAAGCCAGCCTCTTCCCTTTTGAATCAGGACCCACATGCTAGAATCCTACAGGTCAGGGGCGAGGGCCTCAGGGAACAACTGTTAACCCCTCTGTGGTAAGATGAGGAAACTGGGACCCAACGCATAGGAGACCTAGACCTAGAACTCGGGTCTCCTGCTCTTGCTCCACGCCTTCCCCCTCTCCCCCAGGTCTTCCCCTGGCAGGGAGGTTGAATGATGCTGGCTGTGAGTTAATGTACCACAGTGGTCAGTCTTCACTCAAGAAGCCTTTGATTTTCAGAGGGAACGCCTGGAACCTGGCCTCGTGGCCTGGAAACGGCTTAGGGTGGTAGTTGGGAAAGAGTATGCTGTTAGGAGAGATGCCCCCACCCCCACCCCAGCATCCCCATGTGGGCAGAGCTGCCAGGAGGAGAGGGCAGCCGGCCCTCGCCCCCTCTCAGCATCCTCCCCAACTCCCCTCAGCTGCTGGAGTGGATCCGCCGCACCATCCCATGGCTGGAGAACCGGGCGCCTGAGAACACCATGCATGCCATGCAGCAGAAGCTGGAGGACTTCCGAGACTACCGGCGCCTGCACAAGCCACCCAAGGTGCAGGAGAAGTGCCAGCTGGAGATCAACTTCAACACACTGCAGACCAAGCTGCGCCTCAGCAACCGGCCCGCCTTCATGCCCTCCGAGGGCCGGATGGTCTCGGTGAGCATCTGGGCTACCCCCACCCCTGAGCTGCTCCCAGTCACCATCAGATGTACAGGGTGGCGGGGCCATGTGCTCTTCCACTTGCACATGCTGCTTCAGACACCAATTCTCCCTTCCTGATTACCACTCAGGCTCCTGCACTCACTCAGCCATGTGGGGCTGTCTCCCCTCCCCAGGGAGAGAGCCCCTTTTCTCCTGACCATTCGGGTCAGACTAGCTCTTCCAGATCCCTGAACATCCACCTGGACCTGCCCCCACAACAACTCCCCCTAGCCCCTCAAGAACTCATTTTTGCAAACAAAATGCCTCTTGATAACATTAAACCAAGCAGGGCATAATTCAGTAGCAATAGAGAAAATTTTCACTTTCATGGAATCATTTCAGCACTTAAAATTTTTTTTATTACCTTAAACAAGTAATAGATTTTTTTGGTAGTTTATTTCAAAGGCATAAAAATAACCCAAATATAGAAAATGGAAATTATTCATAATCTTACGATCCAGTATTAAGATTTGGGGGGGGGATAGTCTTTTAGTCTCTGTAAATATAATTTTTAAGGAATCCTAAATCATGTTTTATTTAATAAGCTGCTTTAAAAAAAAACCTAACATATACAATTTTTTAAAGGTTTTTATTTATTTAATTTTTTTAAACTTCTTTTATTGAGTTATAGTCATTTTACAATGTGTCAAATCTAAGATATATCATGATCAACCTTCTATGTCATAAAATTTTCTTCATGTCACTTTTTATTATTCCTCCCTCTTTATCCTCTCCTCAGGACTTGGGGAGAAATTTTATGAGCCAGAGAAACATGCAAAAGAAAATTTAAAAATTCACCAGGGTAGAGGTTTTGCCCTGTGAAATGGAGAGTGATGAGAAGTCCTGGGCACATTAAGGCAGGAACAGAAGGGAACAGGCGAACATGCGAACAGTTCTGGATAAACGCAGGATCCTGGGGAAATCTAGGGGAGAAGAGAAAGGTCCTGAGTTGTGCATGCAGTTTGGAAAATTGCAGTCCTTTTACAGGTTCCAGGCTGAATCAGCTGCTTTTAGGTGGCCCGGCCACTGCTAGCTGGAGGGTGCTCTGTGAGTTTGAGAAAGTGGTCCCTCCTCTGGGTGGGTGCAGGGTGACCCCAGGTTCACAGTGGAGACCTGGGCTGAGTCGGCCCGTCACTGCCCTGGGGGTGCCCTGTGCTCACTCTAGTGGCTCCCTGTCTGAAGGCCTGTGGGTTTGTGCTCAGCACCTGTCACTAGCTCTGGGAGACTCTTAGCTGGCTTACCCAGGCCAGGGTCCCTACATGCCCCAGGCTCCTGCCTAGAGCTCAGAGGCCGGAGCCTGTGAGCAGATCCAGAAATGTGAGGAGGCTAGGAGGCTCCCACCTCTGCCTACCTCTTTCAGTCTTTTGCTCTGTCTCCCTGGCTGGCCCTACGACCTCTGTGGTTGTCAGAATCCTGTCAGCAGTCAGTCCTGGAGCATGGAGGGCTTTGAGCTCTCTCCCCACTGGGCTGCACTCCCAAAGCCCCATAGTTGGGTGGCCCCACTCCCTGCCCAGGAGGCCTGGTGCCCGGGAGCCTGGGAAGTACCAGGTGAGGCTGAGTGGCTATGGCTGAGATGGGGATGAGGCTCCTCCTAGAAGGCCTGGAGCCACTCTGGGGGTCTCAGGGACCAGGTGGGGCTGACCCCGTGCCTCCCATCCCTACAGGACATCAACAACGCCTGGGGCTGCCTGGAGCAGGCGGAGAAAGGCTACGAGGAGTGGCTGCTGAACGAGATCCGGAGGCTGGAGCGGCTGGACCACCTGGCAGAGAAGTTCCGTCAGAAGGCCTCCATCCACGAGGCCTGGACAGATGGTGAGCCCAGCCTAGCCTCCTGCCCCCAACCCAGTGGGTTCTGGCTTTCATGCTCCCCAACTGAACCACCAGCCGCAACTCATTTCTCTCTTGTTTTTTGTTTGTTTCATCTCTTACTAGTTCATTAGGCAAGTTCATTAGCCTTTTGGTTGCCTCTATTTTCTCATCTATAAGGTGTGGCCGATAACAATATCAACCCTGTAGGTTTATGAGGATTAAATGAATTAATACATTTGAAGCACTGAGAAGAGTTCTGGCATAGTACGATGCTCTGTTGATTGCTGATTGCTTGTCACCATAATGATTTCTTCTTCCCTGAGTAAGTTATGTTTGGGTGCAAATGCCGACAGTGCCACCTAGAAGCAGTGTGCACTGGGACTAGTGACAGCCTGCAGGCCTTGTTTCCTCGTCTATAACATGTAGGCGATGACATGCCCTCCTGTATGAGTTTCTAGAGCTGCTGTAACAAATTACCACACACAGGGTGGTTTAACATGACAGAAACGCATCCTCTCACAGTCCAGGAGACTAGAAGTCCTATATTGAAGTGTCACCGGGGTTCAGCCTTCTAGAGGCTCTGCAAGGGAGGCTGTCCCATGTGTCTTCCTCACGTCTGGTGGTCCTCGGTGTTCCTTGGCCTGTAGCAGCGTCACTCCAATCTCTGTCTTCATTGTCATGCAGCTGCTTCTCTCTGTGTCTCTCTGACTGAATCTTCCTCTCACTTTTCTACTAAAGATACTAGTCATTGAATTTAGGGCCCACCCTCATCCAGTATGACCTCATCTTAACTAGTTATATTTGCCAAGGCCCTATTTCCAGATAAGGTCAGATTCTGAGGTTCTGGGTTGACCTGAGTTTTGGGGGGCACAGTATTCAACTCTGCACACTTCCTCATGGTGTTGTTATAGGTGCACATATCTCAAGTGCATTTTACGTTCACTTGAGTACCTGGCACGTTTCATGCACTTGGTAAATGGTAGGCCTTGGTGGTTCCCTCCTCTACTTTCCCTCTTCCTGTTTCTGGCCTCCAGTGGTAGTAACCTGGAGCCCTGGCATTAGCATGCGTGTGTCTCCATCACTCCGAGCTGGAGGTGCTTGGGGCCATGTCTGGTGTCTGCTTGTTGGCAGCTAAAGTTAACGCCAAAGAGAGAAAATCACAGCTGGAACGGTCATTTCCTCAGAACCTGGGCTGTGGCTGCCCATTTCCTAGGGCCCTGTGGCCATTTCAGCTGGAGCCCCCGGCCGGGCAGACCCCACTGGCCGGTGGAGCTCAGTGCCCTAAGATGAGCATTCAGCTCTGTTGTGATCCTCAGACAACAGGCCGGAGACAGTTTGGGATGGCCACCCCCTGGGGCCACTTGGGAGTGGCTTCCCTGGGTAGGGGAGAAGAGCGTGCTTGACTTAGCAGAGGGAGTTTGCTGGGCTTTGTACACAGAGATAGGAGGTTGCCGCCCCACCTTCCGTGGCTCATGTATGGAGCTATTTATCCCAGTGTGGATGTGCGGAGTAAAAGGGGGACGGTGGAAACTGCCCTGATTCACCCACGTGCCTCTGTTGTGTCCTCTCTGGGGCCAGGGAACAGCTCACAAGAAGGTACAGAGCCAGGATTGGCCCCACCAGCTTGCCAGCTACCAGCAAGGGCATGAGAGACGCTAGTCTTGGTAGGCCTGCAGCAGACGCCAGCACAGCTGCTGGGCAGAGCCGTCTGGCCACGTGTATGCACACCTGACAGTGCTATTGCCTGCTAAAACAGAAAACGTAATTTACACATACCTTATGGTTTTATGGTAACATCCAGATAAGGGAAGACCGAAAAGGAGTAGATAAGGAGGCTCGTCTATCCTTTTTCCCCCAAATGTGTCATATTATTATTCTGACAAAGGGAAAAGTGGAGGGAAGGAAAGATGCCCTTGGCTTTGCAACCCAGCCTTCATTTACTGAGAGGGGCTGAGCCTCCTTGACCAGCGCAAACACAGAAGGTGGGCGTGCAGACAAGGCCAGGCCAGCCCCTGCCCTGCACCAGTAGCTTCGCAGGGCAGCTGGTGAGTATCATTGAACAGCAGTCCTAGAAGGTCGTTCCTCATCCCGTTTTTCTCCTGGGAAACAAAAATCCAAGAAATATGAGCTTTGCTTTGCTCCTAAAGAGAGAGGACAGTGCACCTGATGATCGGAGAAGGTTCTGGCCACTGATGGGTTATGGGCAGAACACACTGGACACACTGCCCCCACTGAGAGTAGTTGAGGGGAAGGGGTTGGGGCCCAGCAGCAATAATGGAGAAACTCTAAAGGCAGGGTCCCCCTGACGTGCCTGGTCAACCACAGGCATAGATGGCTGTTCCCCACCTACTCCTGCATAGTCTTTGCACATCACCACTCCTGATGGCCCTGTACACGCTCCATGGAAAGTGATGACTTTCCTTCCCCATCAGAGATGCTCTGGCTGCACATCTGCTTTCTCAAATTGCAGATAATTGACCATTGTATGGGGGACATCTCCTTGGGCTGTACCGGAAGTGGAGCTCCCAGGCCCCGAGGGGTGGGTGGTTGGGGTCTGGAAGGTGGGGCCTCCTGGCTCCCGCTCAGCCTTGTGCCCCGTCTCTGAATGCAGGCAAAGAGGCCATGCTGCGGCAGAAGGATTACGAGACAGCCACCCTCTCGGAGATCAAGGCGCTGCTCAAGAAGCACGAGGCCTTCGAGAGCGACCTGGCCGCCCACCAGGACCGCGTGGAGCAGATTGCTGCCATCGCCCAGGAGCTTAAGTAGGCCTGGCTCAGTGAGGGGCTGGGGCGCTGTGGGAGGTGGGGGTGTGGCCTGAGAAGTGAGCAGGGTCCCTGGGCGGGAAGGTCATCAATACAAAAGACTAAGAATGTTCCCCCCAGGTGGGGAATAGTCTGTGACCGTTTCTGTCTCAGGCTGTTGGTCCTTACCTGCAACGAGTGTGGGACCAGAAGATGACCAGGTCTTGGCTCTTAGCTCTCGCCTGGTCTCAACAGCTCCCTGCCATTGGGCATCAGGGTCAAGACTGGCATGGCCTCCAGGCAAGGATGGGGCGGGGGCCCTTGGACAGGAGAACTGGCCTTCACTGGCCTCCTCCCAGTGTCTCCTGAAAGCCGAGGAGTAGGGGGTGGGAGGGGCCTGGAGGGTCTGATGAAGCAAGCACACCTGGACTTCCAGCGCCACAAGTGCCCCTGGACCCAGGGAGGGAGCAGGCCACGGAGGTGACCTGGGTCACCTGACTTTTTCCATCTCTTCCTTCCCAGTGAGCTGGACTATTACGACTCCAACCCAGTGTACAACGCCCGGTGACCAAAAGATCTGTGACCAGGTGGGAACAATCTGGGGGCTCTAACCCAGAAGCGGAGGGAAGCTCTGGAGGTAAGGGCACCTGAGGGAGATGGAGGCCTGCCTTCTACAGCTCTGTGTGCCCCTTCCTACTCTGTGACTCCCTTTGTTTTGGGCTAAGAGGCTCCCCTGAGTTCCCTGAACATCCGCCAGATGTGGCCTGACTGTGGAAGGCTCAAATTGGCTCTGGACTTGGCCTTTGCCCTAATGGAAATGTCTCGTTTCTTGCCCTAATCATATCTTATCCTTCTGGTTTAGTGTACTTGGCCCAACCCCAGTTGTTTGAGAACTTTTCTGTTCTCCAAACCTCTGGGGACCAGACTTAACCCCATGTTAAGAACCAGCTCCCCAGAGAGAGCCTGTTCTTTCTGCCTGAGTTATTCTGGTGCTTCCAGACCTGAACCCTTGAGGCTGGCCCGGAGGATCTTGAAATCTGTTAGGGTGGAGGGTGGTGATTCTGGATGTGACTTTGCTAAATACCTCCCACCCTCCACGGTATTTGGCACTTCTAGCGGACAGAGAAACTGCTGGAGACCATCGACCAGCTGTACCTGGAGTATGCCAAGCGGGCTGCACCCTTCAACAACTGGATGGAGGGGGCCATGGAGGACCTGCAGGACACCTTCATCGTGCACACCATTGAGGAGATCCAGGTGTGCTGCGGCCCCAGCTTGCCCCTGGAGGCTGGCTCCCCCAGCTGTCCACAGCCCACACTCTGCCAGTCACTCTCCTGCAGGCCTGCCCCTCCGGGAAGAAGACTGAAGGATAGCATCCCCAGGATGTTATAGATTCAAAAGCTTTGCATTTTATTTATTTTGAGTCATGTGCATATATGCACATGGTATAAAATCTAAAAGATTAAAAGGCTATGCAATAAGTTCCCCTCCTACCCCTTGTCCCCCAGCCCCAGTGCCTCTCCCCAGAGTAAGCAATATGACCACATTCTTCACGTAGGCACATTTATTTATTTGTTAACATCTGCATCCCACACCCCTTTTTTAAAACAAAAAGTAGCTTTTATTATGTACTGAATCCTGACCCTTTATTTTTAACCTAACAATTATCTGGAGCTCATTTCATGGCAATAGATTGTTCTTTCGTACAGCTGCGGAGTGTTGGATGAAAAGGTTTTGCAAAGTACTGAAGATCTGGTTAGGGGAGGTCACCTGAGGAGCAGACTTGGGGGCTCCTTTGTCCCTGACCTGACTGTGGGGTGTGAGCTTCCCCGGGGGCTGGCTGCTGACTTGACCAGTCTGCGGCATGAAGCTGTTGCTCTGATGGCTCTGCCTCTGCTGTCTCATGGCCAGCCCTGCCGTCCTGGTTCTCAGCTGTGAGAGTCCTGGGTTGATAGCTCCCAGCTGGCGTGTGGCCAACCTCTGGTGGCCCTTCCACCCACCTCTGCCCTGGGACCTGCACGTCTCCCTTTGCTCATCTTGCCCACGGGAGGCACCAGTCCCGCTCAGTCACTGTGCTTTTCCTACATCCCCCTCTCTGTCCAGGGACTGACCACAGCCCATGAGCAGTTCAAGGCCACCCTCCCCGATGCCGACAAGGAGCGCCTGGCCATCCTGGGCATCCATAACGAGGTGTCCAAGATTGTCCAGACCTACCACGTCAACATGGCGGGCAGCAACCCCTACACAACCATCACGCCTCAGGAGATCAATGGCAAATGGGACCATGTGAGTCCGAGGGCTGAGTGGGGGATGGGTGGAGCCACTGTAAGTTTCATGAGGGCAGAGATTTTTGTGTCTGTGCTGTTGCTTTTCATTAACTTTTCATTGATTTTGTTGTCACATAGTAAGCACTCAGTATCTCTCTTGTTAATGAATGACTGAATTTCCAGAACACGTCGATGGGTTCACTCCTATTCTGTTACTGACTGGCCCCTTCCTCTCATGGCTCCTACATTTCCTCATCTGAATAGGGGAAGATGGCTGACCCATCCCCAATGTCCCATGATTGTTCCTACCCCAGGTGCGGCAGCTGGTGCCTCGGAGGGACCAGGCCCTGACGGAAGAGCATGCCCGCCAGCAGCACAACGAGAGGCTACGCAAGCAGTTTGGGGCCCAGGCCAATGTCATTGGGCCCTGGATCCAGACCAAGATGGAGGTGGGTCC